GAAATCCCCCCCCAGGGTGGTGGCCACTCTGCAATTGCTTGTCCTCCATTCTCCTCTCGGGATCTTGGGCATGCACGCACATGCGCCCAGCATGAGCTTAAGCCACCAGGTCCGGGACTCGAACCGTGGTCAACTACATAGGAGTCCAGTGACATAGCCATTATGCCAACTGCTGGTTCCCAAAGTTCTATTTCTTTAAAAATAAATAAATAAATAAATAAGGAAAGAAAGAAAAAAATCTTGCCAAGTTGGCTCTTAAAAATAAGTCATTAACCTTGTCTTTTTACATGTAAGAGATACCTCTAATCATTTTCCCCCATCCTAATAACACTCTAATTTATTTCTTTTGGGGTATTTACCACCCATAATTGCATATAATCAGGGTAATTCCAGGTGCCCACCTCCCAGTACAAAAGCTGAAGGCACCAGGGTTTTCCTCTTAACACTCAAACAGCCAGGGAGTGTGGTCTGTGCTCACTAGTTGAACCTTCTGGAACTTTGAGTTATAGAGAAAGAAGAAAGAGTAGATGGTTGATCACTCAGCACTAACAGTCTCTTACTGCCATGAGGCCACTGCTGTGCTTCCCATAGCCCAGTGCTTCCAAGTCCTGTTTTGTGCCTGCCTTATCTCAAACCTGGTCCTCTAGCCTGCCTTATACTTGACAGCCTCTCCTAGTTTCTCCCTGTGGGAGCTGGCCCTGATAGTCTCCCTTAAATTTCCATTTGTTTAAGTACACAGAGTCTTTACAAACCAAGGACCTTCTCCCATTTGTTGCAGCTGGACCTCTCATGACAGCTAGTAAGGACTACCCAAGCAATCTTCAGTCCAGGTCATATCTTCTTACCAAAGACAATCAATCTTTTTTTTTTTCTCCCACTGCTAGATTCACATTCCTCTTGCCTTTTGTCTTTTCCTTCAAGTGTTCAGCAGCTCAGTTCCTCATTTGAAAATTCGCAGCCATGAAACCAAAGAAGTTATCTGACACAGGAATTTTTAGCCATGTGTAGGCACTAGTTAATGATGAGCCACCCATACACCCTCCTAAGCCTTTGAAAACTATTAAACGTAATGTTGCAGGGTTGGTCACATATAGATTATTGAGCTGGAAAATGATGTTAGACCTCAAGTATCTTTGCTTCAGTATTATGGGTAATTAAGCTGAAAGTGCCACCAGGGCTTCAGGCATCAATTAAGTTGAGCATATAGAATGGAGTGCCCATCTCTATGACTTGTGCAGAAAGGTATTGGGAATGACAGTCCAGATGGAGTGGCCACTGGAGCTTCATGCTCAGTCTCCATGCTCACAATGAATGAGCCAACAGCTGAAAGTCACTAAGAATAATAAGCAGCTACATACTTGTATTTTTCAAGTATCCCAAGAAAGCAGAGACCACATCTACATTGTTCATTGCCAATCCCCAAAGCCTAACACGTTGGAGCAAGTACTCTGTATATATATTTTTTTAAATCAATGAATGTCAGGCATAGGGCTATGCACTTTATCCACTCCATTTCATTTAATCCTATCTCTACTATGGCAGGCATTATTCTCCTTCTGTAGATGTGACATGCATGTGCATGTGTGCCCAAAATCCCGAAAGAATGGGGGAAAAGGGATTGCAACATGGCCATCTCCCCTGGGGGGAGGGTGATTTCTTGCTTTCTGTCTCTCTCTCTGGCAAGCACAAGCACCCTATAGTAAAATCTCTCAAAAAAAAAAAAAAGAAAGAAAGAAAGAAAGAAAGAAAGGCAAAATTTCAGACCTCCTAAATCCAAGTCTGTATTTTAACAAGATCTCTAGGTAATTCAAAAGTGTTCCAAAGTTAAAAAAGCATGCCTCTAAATACCCTACTGAATCCTTGAAGGATATATAAACTGGATACCTCTACAGTACAATCTCCCTTCCCTCACCACTCAAGCTCCAGCCACTCGGAACATTCCTCTATTCCTTATACAGGTCACTCTCCCAGTTCTGGAGCTTCGCATGTGCTGTTTCTACCCCTGTACCCTGCCCCTTTTCCTTGGTAACATCTTCATGCCTTAGGCCGCAGCTTACACAGTGCTCTTCTTTGTTCATCACCTCCGCCTCCATTCCTAGCTCTGTTACTGGGGTCTTCGACAAAGTCATGACACATTTTTGCATGGAAACGTACCTCATGACCCCCAATGACCAAACAGCTGCCCCTTGATGAGGCTCACTTCCAGTGCCACCCGTTTGCAGTTGTGTGTTAAACTGAATCTCCCCCTAGCAAAACCAGTAAGCAAAGGGATTGCGTCTGCCTTATTTCCATTAGGTGTCTGTGCCTAGAGCAGTGTTTTGGCACTAAGGACGTCATAAAATCACTCACTCTATCAAAAACTGATGATCAGATTTCTTGCCATACTAGCATCTAGCCCACATTGCTATCTTTAATACCCCGATTTAGGGGAGGGGGAAAGATGCATGAAGCCTATTTAAACAGCATTTCTCTTCCCTATTGACTTTGGTGAGGAATCGATAGTAAGGTGACTGATATCTGATGCCAACACACACACTCATGCAGGCTCCCCTACAAAAAAAAAAAAAAGACACTAATTATTCACTCTGATAAAGACAGAAGGAATTTATACACTCAAATCAAAAAGGCTAGGTAAAAGGAGCATTAGAAAAGAAAACTAAGTCACCGAACACGTGCTGAGTCATGAAGCTATTGTGGGAAGACCTATGTAGCTTCAGTAAGGATGAGAAGGTAAGAACATTTTTAACAGACAGAGTACAAAAAAAGAAGTGTTATGGGGTTTATCTAATGCCATCTGTCTCCAATTTTTTAAAGAGCTCAGTTGGACTCTGGAGAATATGTGAAAAATTAGAGTTCTTTTCAAACTTGTGTAAAACCCAGCTAGCGAGAAGTTATGTTAAAATGGCAGAGTATGGAAGATTCTTCTCACTCATGGTGACAACCTACACCATCTCTCTTTCCCAGTTCCAATAAGGAATTTACTGTCTTTATACCATTTTGCACAACTCTATGCATGCATTAACAGAAAGTTACTGACACATTCATATAAAGGAAGATAAAATTAAATTGGATTGCCATTCCCCTGGGAAGTATCACCAAGGTAGCGTGAGAGAAGTTAAATGACTTCAAAATGTCCAAAGATTATACTTTCAGCAACTTCCAACAAACCAGTCCATATCTCAGAACCAAGTCGAATATCCCATGCCCTGCTCTGGGAGGAATGGTGTATGCATGACCAGCATGCTGTACGTCCCCTTTCCTGCATCAATGGCCAGTCCCCCCTGATCTTATTATTACTCTCACAGGGATTTGGCCTCCCATAAAAGCTCATCCATAGTGTGTTCCAAGCAGCCACAATGAACAGATCAGAACTGGCATTCAAAATAAACTTTCGTTGCCTTTGCTGATTTAGCGTCAGGCCGATTTTCTTCCTTCCTCTCAGGTAGCACACTTGGCTCCAACACCATGATCTATCCACCAAAGAGTCTGATTTGAATCAAAGTCCCTTTTCCATGCAATATTTCGAACACAGAGGTCTTTCCTGTCAAGTCCAATGTTAATCTACTTAATTCCTTTCTTTTTATAGTGCTTTTAACTTTCAAAAGCATTCTAAATTACATTACTATTTCATTCTTAGGAAAATCCCTGGGAGTTAGGTTAAGCAAGTAGTATTATCTCCAAGAGAACTAAGGTCCAGAGAGTTAAATTCAGAAAACCATCCAGTGAGTTAGATGAAAAACTGGGTTGAACATCCTGGGAACCTAGATGCCACTCCAAACTCTTCACATGATGTCACACTGTCTTATACTCATTGAAATTCCCTGCACATATGCAGACAGAGACACACACAAGTAAACAGAGAAACCTGCACATAAAAAGTAAGAAACACACAGAAAGGGTTATGCCCATACCCAAGATACACAAAGACAGATATACACGGGGTCTTTAAAATGTTCCTGGAAAATGCATATTATGAGAAAGCTATGCCTGCATTTCAAGTTTTTTGTCCCTAAATAAATTTGTACTTTAATCCCATTTTTTTCAAACATACTTTTGTACATATGTACACACACCTAGAGTGACATACAGTCAAAAAGACACACACAAAATGAGAGACACAAAGAGATGCACACAGACACATACACACAGACTACACAAAGAGATACACTCAGGAATATATACACGCAGTGATCCACCTACTTAGACATATAAACACAGACACATAGAAATACATGTATACAGAGATACAACAGAGACGCACCCAGAAAGACACAGACACACACACACAGGAAGAGTATACACACATATCTTCTAACAACTTTCATTTCATCAGCTCAGTGTGGGAGCTCTCATTTTTCTCTGTGGACTCCATCAATGTGGGTCGTGGAGAACATCCTAGCCCCCGACTTTGTTCCATAAAGAACAGGCTCCCCTCTGTGAGCTCAGTGATAAGAGCATGTACCATGGGTGCTTATGGCTCTTAGCAGAACTGGCATGTGGCGATCTGCGCCGCACTCACCCACTTACTAATCAATCATTCATAACCTAGTTTGTGTTGAGATATTCTCAGAGGCTGCTACGCTTATTATGAGGAATCAGAAATGCATTGTAGCTGTCACATTGGGTTCTGATGACCCCATTTGGGGCCCGAATCCCTATTAGAACTGTCACATTTGCTTTAAGAACACGCTATTTGCTCCATCATCTGATTTCCCAAGAACAGAAGCATTTGCTCTCGGTACTAAAAATGGTAATGGATCTCTGTAAAGATGCAAGGAGCAAGAAGGAACAAATGTAGGAGTGAAATAGCACAAGACAAAGAAAAAATTCAAATTGGGGGTCTTTATTAGGGTCTCAAACTAGGGACTTGATGAAAGCCATCTTCCTCTTCTTTCTTCAATTCTCCCTAATGAGCCCAGACTCTTTATAGCAGGTTTATGCAGACACTGCCAGTCACCCCCCCAAATTCATTCTCTCTCAAGGCTCTTCCAAGGCATGCAGAGGCCCAACGGTAAAGAACATTTGCCCACCTCATGAGACTATTGTTCAAGGAAAGTCAACTTATATTCAGTACAAGGTGGGTGGATCTTGATCATACTAAGCTGAATAAGGTTAATTACATTCTTTTTGTTAATGAGCAACTTAGGAATGGGCATATCATCCAATTCTGGCCAATAGGATTTGAGGAAATCTAGGAAATGTATTCTTTTCCCACCCTTGCATATTGATACGTCTGGTTGTAAGACATGGGGCTGCTCATGTGGAGTGGCAACTATTGGGTTGCCTGGAAAGTTATGACATATTTTGCATAGGAAAACACGTCATGACTTTTTCTATGACCTAATATTTTAAATAACTGCAAATTATTTCACACTCCTCCCACAGTGGATGAGATCTGTGTTGCTTCCCCTTGAATCTAGAAGTGTTTTGACTACTTCAGTTCATAGAACTGACAGAGATGGTACTAGGTCATAAAAGGCCATACATCTCTCTGGTTCTCTTGGTAGGGTCACTTCTGGCATGCTCATCTTGCGGAAAGCCATCCACCATGGAAGATAGCTCACTAGCCCACTATCTCTGTGGTGGAGAAGCCAAGTGCAGCTCTTCTGGTTGACAGTCTCAACTAAATCCAGCCCTTTATCATCTCAAGGTTCCAGACAGGTAAGTGAAGAAGCCATCTTGGTAGCAGAGCTTCCAGCCCCAGCTATCCCCACTTCCAGCTATTTGAGTCACTTTTTTAATCATTCAAGTTACCCCTATCCCCACCACTCACAGCACCCCCCAGATGAGAGTCAGAATCATGAGACTGAAACAAATCAACCCTGCTGTGCCCTGATGAAAGTCCTAACCTGTCGAATCCATGTGCATAACAAATGAATTTATGTATCACTATATTTTAGAGTGATTTGTTTAGGCAGCAAAAGTAACTGTTAAAAAATAGCAGAGTAAGAAGATGCAAAAATCTGCTTCTTGAGTGGCTAAGTTAACCTACCCTGGAGCTGCCCTGTCTCTTGTTCTGAGTATGTAAATTCATTAGTTTCTCTTATGTTTAAACCCTCCTGAAAGGGTGTTTCATTTGTAAGGACAGCCAGAACAAAGCACCACAGACTAGAGGGTCTTAAACAATGGAAATTTATTTTCACACCCACCTGGAGGCTAAAAATCCAAAATCAAGGCATGGGCAGGTATGCTTTCTCCTGAGGCCTCTCTCGGTGGCTTAGATGGCTATCACTCCCCTGTGTGAAAGAACCTTCCCCGCTGTCATTTCCCTGTGCACATGCTTCTCTGGTGTCTCTCTGTGTGTCCAAAGTTCCTCTCCTTTTAAGAACATTAGTCTTATTGGATTGGAACCCACACTCATTTTAACTTACTTGCCTCTTCAAAGCTCTTCCCTCTAAACACAGTTACATTCTGAGGTACTGGGGGGGTAAGCGCTTTAACATACAAATTTGGGAAGACACAATTCAGCCCATACAAGAGGATGCATTGTCACCAAAATCAAACTAAAGAGAGAAAACTAAATCAAACTAGCTTAAGCAAACACTAAATCCTGAAATAGCTCAAAAATTAAGAAAGATTGACATGATAGACACGTCTAAAATGTACTCTAGTCATCATATCTGCTGTACTATAAAGCAGGGCTTTGCACGTAGCAGGTACTCAAAACTAAACTGTCCACACAATGTACTGACTCTCCAATATCAGCAATATATGGTGACTTTTTTCTGATGGCTACCAAAGTAACACAAGTCCTGGTTCATAATTGTCAAGACCAGAATCTAAATTTGGGCTTCTCTTCCCAATTAGCTCTGCCTTTCCCATTGCATAGCTTCAATGCTTTCACGCCGATAGATCTCCAGCACTCCAGTCACATTTTCTGAGGCCGCAAGAGCAGCAGGACAGCACAGTCAAGCAACCTTCAGAGCCAGACTTGGGAGGATGCATTTAAATCACACACATATTAACACAGACTGGAGTTGCAATTATAATCATCAAAGCAAACCTTAGTGTGTTACATATAATTAAAATGAATGTATGATCAGCTGAAAAACTTCTCTTTCTGTGTGGTTATAAAAGTGTGGTGGTACACCCTGCTGAGACATGACTACTTGGAGGCTGGGGCCACATCAGAGGCCCAGGCTTGGTTCCTGGCCAACCTAAACAGGCCAGGCATATGCCTGTAGTTCTAAATAGCTGAGGACTAGGGAGGATGGGACATGGTAAGATTCTGTCAGAAATTAACCTCTCTCAAGACCAGCAGTTGGTGTAATGGTTATGTCACTGGATTCCCATGTAGTCAACCACAGTTCGAGTCCTGGACTCACACTGGGCATGTGTGCGTGCATGCCCAAGATCCCGAGAGGAGAATGGAGGAGAAGGGATTGCAGCATGGGCATCCTCCCTGGGGGGTAATTTCTTGCTTTCTGTCTCTCTGTCTCTCTCTGTCTTTCTGGCAAGTGCACATGCCCTATAGCAAAAATCTCTAAAAAAAAAAAAAAAAAATCCTGGCCAACCTAAACAGGCCAGGCATATGCCTGTAGTTCTAAATAGCTGAGGACTAGGGAGGATGGGACATGGTAAGATTCTGTCAGAAATTAACCTCTCTCAAGACCAGCAGTTGGTGTAATGGTTATGTCACTGGATTCCCATGTAGTCAACCACAGTTCGAGTCCTGGACTCACACTGGGCATGTGTGCGTGCATGCCCAAGATCCCGAGAGGAGAATGGAGGAGAAGGGATTGCAGCATGGGCATCCTCCCTGGGGGGTAATTTCTTGCTTTCTGTCTCTCTGTCTCTCTCTGTCTTTCTGGCAAGTGCACATGCCCTTAACAAAAAATCCTAAAAAAAAAAAAAAAAAAAATTTAACCCCTCTCTTTCTCTCCTGCTATCATTAATTAATTTTTTTAATGAAACATAAGCAGCCTGTTGTGTAAGGTGGGAACTTGAACTTAAAATAACTTTACCATTCCTATACCTTAGTAATAAAGATTAAACTCGCTCTTCTGTTGCTTTTGGCCCCAAAGGTCTTCGCCCTTCCACTGCTCAGGATATAAGCCACTTAAACGGTCTAAGATTATAGCCTGCACAGAACTCACATTGTCAAACTCCCTTAAATCCCAAGTAGGGTTAAAAAAAAAGCTTGCTTTTTCTCTAGGAAGTTCCCGGTGCTTCCAACAATTTAGAAGATGACTGCAAAAAAAAAAAAAAAAAAAAAAAAAGAAAGAAAGAAAAGAAAAGAAAAAATTAAAACAGGGGACCAGCAGGTGGTACGGTCGTTAAGGCACTGGACATTCCCACATGACTGACCATGGTTCAAGTCCTGGACCTGGTGGCTTGCTTTCTCACTTTCTCTCTCTCTTTCTCTGTCTCTCTGTCTGGTCAAATTTTAAAAAATGAATGAATAAGTAAAATTAAAAATAAGTAATTATTTTAAAAAATGAAAACAATCCTCTCCAAAGCTTTGTCTCATCCATACCTGTTCTGCTTACTGCCTACCACTTGTTCTCAGCAGCATTTCACTCATCCCCACTACTAGGCTGAAACTGAAGACATTCTCACACCATTTGCTCAGTCTGCTTCATGAGAATTAGGAAATATTATCCAGACTCTGCCTAAAGTGTCAGTTTAGACAGAGTGAGAGCAGCCAGCGAGCCTCATTTTCTTAATTTCCTATTTGATTGAACATTATTAAAAGAACTGTAAAAGTTATGAAACTCCATGCTCATATTAGGTTTAGGATGGGATGGCTGAGGATACATATAAAAAGTATTATTCCGCTTCTCCTTTACTTAGTAATAACATTTAACACTCAGACATTGCTTTTCATCTCCATCACTCTTTACAAACATTAACTGTACAATTTCATTGCATTAACTGCAAAGACAGAGTTAGAGATGGCCCTATAATTTTGTAGTCACTTTGGTGACATTCATTGTCTCGCAAATGATATACTACACCCCAGAGTCTATGTTTTAATCTGATTTAAGGTAGGAAGGTAAGAAACAGTGGAGGGAGGAAAAGAGGTCAGATGCTAAAATAACAGTGATAGATCCCAGAAGCCTACTAAGATTCCAGGGATAGAGCCTCTGGATTAGAAAGTGGAACTGAAATTGTTACTGAGTCAAATGCCATTACTGAGTTTTGAAAAGTGGTGTTATGCTCAGCAATAATGTTATAGTTCATATTTAATTTAAAAAAAAATACAAGAAAAGGCTCCAAATCAAAATTTCCTTTAAATTAAAAAAGAAATCAAGCGAGCATATCCATTTAATATAAACAGGCATAGAACCTTTGCTGTAATTGCTGATAACATTTTTATAGCTTGCCTCACCCTTGAATCAATTTTTAGACAAAGACCCTCCAAATAATAAAAATAACTACACTTGGTTGAATATCTACCTGTGCTGGGCACCACATTAAGGACTCAACTCAATTTCCCCATCTGTAAAATGGAGATGTTTATCTAAAGCAAGGATCAGCAAACCACAGCCCATAAGCTAAGTAAACATTATTTTTGTAAATGAAATTTCACTGGAACACAGACCTGCCCATTTATTTACAAATTACCCATGACTGCATCTGCACTACCTGGGCAAAGTTAAGCAGTTGAGACAAAAGCTACATGACCCGCAAAGCTTAAAGTATTTGCCATCCAGTCTTTTCTGGAGATGTGGGGTTTATTGCCAAAGGTCACATGCACTCTCTAAAAAGGAAGAGAGAGAAAACACCCCCTAGTGGGGTGAGGTCACACCACAACCCTTTTTCCTCCATCTCTCTATCCCGTTAAGATTTAGGGCATGCACACACATTGCTCCAACATGCTTTTCAAGTTAACGGGTCTGGGACCCAAACTGCTATCAGCCATGTGTGAGCCAGCTTTCTATGCACGGTGCTTAACCACTGCACTACAGAGCCAACCCTTCACTATCTGTTCCTTTACAGTAAGAGTAACAAACCTCTGATCTAGAGATGATTTTAAAGGACCCAGTGTTGAGGACCCTCACCACTTTCCCACTAGGTCATTAGCTGCATCAAACAGCAAAAACAGTGTGGGCCTGGACTTGCCTATGGTTGTATGTTGGCTTAGACATCAGGGTCAGTTCTGTTAAAATACAAAAGTGTAGAGAAACCAAAATTTAACAGAGTTTATTCAAACAAAGGGTGGGCCATTCAGATTGGGCAGTCTCCCAGAAAATGGCTGCTGGGGGACTCCGGCTAGCCACGTGGCTACAGAGTATGTAAATTGGCAGAAAGGGAAAGTGATGGGTGCAGGAGAGGGAAAGTGATGTAAAAAACGAAAGCGAGTGAGGTAGAGAAATCATTGGACTGGTTACAGCTGGACGGTAGGCTGCACGAACAGCCTAAAATGTGGGCTTTCTGTGACTGAAGTGTGGCTAGTGTGATTGGCTGTAACTCAGTAGCCAGCTCAAGAAAACAGTATAACATGTACGATTTCGGCTTATTCATAGGAATCCAAGTGTGGGAGTAAAGCGGTCATTTCAGGCCAAAATAATTGAACGGTTCTTTAGAAAAATATCCCTTGTCTTTTTAATTCTGTAATAATCTACTTGGGCTATTATTAAGAGCTAACTTCTGGTAATGTAAGGTCCCACACAGTGAAACTCTTCCTGAGCATGGCTCCAGGCCTGACAAGGAACCAAGGCAGAACTTCAGCGTACTTGGTCTTGGCAAGAGCCCCCACTCCAGGCGCTGCTACCGCAAGGTCACGCGGACCCAGGACATAGCAGATAAAGGCCCAGAGCGAGTACAGTACTGGGAGGTCTAACTCCCTAGAGATGGATCAAAAGAAAACCCACCAAATGTTTCCTGTATGCTTATCCCACTGTGCCTAACTCCCTTGCATATCAATAGCTCAATTACCCTATAAAAGGAGGCCCTCCTTCCTGGCAGGTGGGCGAGGCACCTCTGGCTTTAGACCTCACTGGCTGATCTTTCTCTCAACAAACTTTCCTTTTCTCTAGAGATGATGCTTCTGAGTCTTCGTCTGGACAGTGACAGGTAATCTAATTTTAAACTGTATGCATTGTGTGTCCCCACTCGAAATATACCGCATGTCTGCACCCTATGGCAGAAACAGAAAGACTGGAAGATATAAAAATACGGAGATCAACTGTGGATACTAGAGACAGGGTGGGAGGAGGGTGGGAAATGGGGGAGGGAGTCAAGGGGAAAAAGAAAGAAGCAAGACATTTAAGGGACACAAAAATAGAAAATGTATCTGTTGATGATAATGTGTATGGTAATATCTTTGCCTGAACCAATATACAGTGTATTCAGGAGGGGAAAGCTCATTTGGTATGCTACAATGATACACAGTGATTGAAAGTTAAATAAATAAATAAATATAAAACATAAAACTAAAAAATAAACTGTAGGCTGTTGATAATAGCCACATCAGCCTTGAAAAAAGTACAATTAAGGGATTCTAAATTACACCAATTAAAAACAAAGACACCGAGAATATTAGATGCTATAATGACTGCGGTTCAAGTCCCGGACCTAGTGGCTTAAAATTCTTGCTGGGCACACGTGTGCCCAAGATTCCAAGAGGAAAATAATGGAGAAGGGATTGTGGTGTCACTATCCCCCCTCCCCCCCCCCCCCGGGGCGGTGTTTTGGGGATGATTTCTTGCTTTCTGTCTCTCTGTCTCTCCAGGAAGCATATGTGCCCTCTAGCAAAAACCTCTCAAACACACACACACACACACACACACACAAAATGACATCTAATTCTGTCACTTCTTCCCTCTCTCAAATCCAACACATCATCAACTCTTCTGCCATCACCACTGTCCGTTGCAGCTTCACTGTCCCCCACCCCGTACTTTATTAACTGAGC